GAGGTACAAAAGTGTTCTTGGAGAAGCTTATGGTCTGAGTGCCGTGGTGTCTCGGGGTGCTCTAACAAGTGCTTTTTGCAGAAAGAGGCCAAGAGCCTGCTGTGATTGAGGAGTTTGGTGGTTTTTAGGGATTAACTGCGCCAACTCGAAGCCTGAAGCTTTCTCATCTCCTGAGCAGCCTGTGGCTGCCTCTGCTGTGTGCTCTGGAGGGGAAACTGCCGTTTCCAGCAGGGATTTACCTGGGGACACTGCCTTATTTCCCTGAATTTTGTACCTAATTAAATTCCAATTCTTGAGCCATCAGATTCCTCTGAAGGCAACACTTTTCCCCTTGGCACCTTCCACCCCAGGTACCTTCTTCTCTGCTCCCCAGATGTTTGATCTGCTGTGTGGCTGCTTTGCTTCATTTCTTGTTTTTTTTTTTTTTTTTTTTTTTTCTTTTGACATCAGGACTGCAGAGTGCACATTTGGCCAAAGAACGCAAATGAAGACGATCTGTCATTTTCATGATGCACTTTAATAACATCAACATAATGTGGAATATTAGATTAGGTTGATTAATCGGTCATTCATAATTAACTAGTGATAATGTTCTACACTAATTTGTCCGCGTCTCCAAGGTACTAAATTACATCAATGCACATCCATTTCCTTGCTTTTGGAGGGGGGTGGGGGGGGGGGAGAAAAGAGCTGAGCCGGGATTCTCCAAAGCCAGGCTGACCACTCGCAGGCCGTGGGGTTTCTCAGCTGCAGGGAGCCCTCCTGCCAGGAAGAAATCTCCCTCACCTCTTCAACTTTTCTCCCTAAACACTTAATTTAGAGACCCAAAGAGCAGAGCAACCCCCACACCCTCACTATGCTCCAAAAAACACCATTGGCAACGATTATTCTCTTTCCTCCCCCACTTTTCTCCACCCCTTCCTTCCTTCTCCCCGCTTTCCCCCCCACTCTTTTCTCTTTTTTTTTTTTTTTTTTTTTTTTTTTTTTTTTTTTTTTTTTGATCCAGGTGTTTATTTTTCCATCCCCAGGGGTTAACTTTGTGTGTGGACGTGCTCTGCTAAGAAGAGCAGTCCTGCAGATGTCAGAGATGGATCCCTCTAACTCTGCAGGCATCCACCCCAGAGTTACAACCCATTTTTTGAATACGATTATGTATTAATTTTATTTATGGGGCTTTTCTGCGCGCTGTTTTTCTATTTTTTTTTTTATTATTTTATTTAGGTGCTCGGGGTTAAGACTATGCAAAGATCTAATTGTAGGAAATATAATAGCTTGCCTTTTGTTCCCTAGGGTCATGTTAGTATCTCTTAAAACCCAATGGCTGAAGAGAGATAATGGAATTCACCGCAGTAAATTGGGGATTGTAAACAAATTATTTCTCCTATAATCAGATTATGCGATCCTGATTATTAAATCTGAACATGAATCATTGGTCATACGCGGGCAAATTAAACTGATTATTATTTGGAAATGAAAATCTCCTTTTTGCCACTGCATTGTAGGTACTGGTGGTTGGTTTTCTTTTTTTTTTTAAGAAAAAAAAAAAACAATAAAAAATGCCATTTTGGCTATTGGCGCCTAAAGACTGAACTGCAAATTGAGATAAATGGGACAATTATTGAGCATTCAGAAGTGGGAGATCATAACTTCTTCCTGAAAGGTGCAAGGGTGAGATAGGGGTGGTGACAATGAGCTTGCTGAGGACTGGGGTTTAGCCTTCTTGTTGGCCATTATGCAACCAGACAATAGATGCAAGCTCTTGCTCAGCCTGCCTTGTGCAGGGACAGGGGAACCACAGAGGATGGGAGAGATGTTTACATTTATACCCCTCGCTCATTCAAATATGATTAATGTGCTATAAAGCCGAGTCTTAATCGAAGATGATGTTGTCAAACAATAACTAAATAGGGAAATAAACGACTTCATCATGCTCTTTCCTCAGAAGCAGGCGAACTGTCAGTGCAAAGTCATTAAAATATGATAATGAAAAATAGCTCAATTAAATGTTGTTATAGCTGTGACCTTCATTCAATTAAGACGCAAGAAAGTGTCTGCATTTTGCTTTGCATTTAACTGCTCTAAATTTAGAATATAGATAAAATCATTATTCAACGTTTGCTGATACATGCAATTAAAAGGCAGCTAACTAAAATGGAGTTGTAGGAGGAGAATAATAATAGTAACAATCTCGCCTGTACTTGAAGTCATGTATTAAAATGTGGATTTCCTGACCTCAAGAGAGGCTTGGCATTTTGCACCTCAAAAAAAGGCGTTTTCAGAGCATCAGCTCCAAGGTAAATGAAAAAAAAAAAAAAGTGTTTGGACGAAAAGTCAGGGGATAAAATCGAGAACATGAATATTTGTATAGCATTACAGGGAAAAAATTAGTTTTGGAAGCTGGTGTGTATTAAACTGCAGAACGATCTTCCAAAATTAGCATCTACCACCCTTTTGAGGCCTCTAAATGCAGAGTGGGCAAATCCATCACAGAAATAACAGCAAGTATCGGTCCTCTGCGGGAAACGGGCTGGATGAGGTGGCCTGGGACATACCTTCTCCTCTCTGACTGCTTCCATTCCAGCAGCAGCTCCTTTAAAGACTTATATATGGTTTCATCAGAATGCTTAGGTATCTTAGATACTTACAGATACTTATATTTAAGTCCCCCCCTATACAAATGTGGTAAAACACAGAAATCAGTGAGAATTAAACATGTACCTGAAGTCAAGGCACACGTTTAAATATTTTGCCAACTGGCACGGTAACATTAAACCTCTTTTTTTTAGTTGGTTGTTTTATTTTGAATATGCCTTTTGAATATCTTTAGACATTCCTGGCCTGTTTTCTAGACACAGAAATACTCCATATACAAATGTAATGCTAAGGCTCAACCAGAAAAACAACAGGGACACAAAATAAGAGGAAGTTTTAGCCACGCTTCTAAGTGTCTGCTTTCACGAGAGTAACAATTCCCTTGTGTTGGACTAAACACGGAATTGAGCCCAGATTGTTCTCCTGCTCCAGGTGTGGTTCCAAAATCGAAGAGCTAAATGGAGGAAGACAGAGAGGGGCGCTTCTGACCAAGAGGGCTCCAAGGAAACCATGGCTGAGGTGGCACCTCCCGCGAGGAATTTAAATTCCCCTTCTCCAGCAGATCAAACCAGGAATAAAAAAGAGGGCCTGGAGATCCAGCAGAGGTAAGAGTAGTATGTGTTGTCAACTGCTTCTCCTTGGGGCAAGCAGGCAGGACACTAGTCAATACGTACAGATTTGCCTGCTGCCAAGCCTTGACATGCAGAGTGTCATCTTCAAAAGTCCAAATAATTTGGAGAGGAGTTGTCTCTTGTGCAACCCACTGCTCCCGGTGGAGATGCTGGTGGCTGTGGGATGCTAATGTTCATAGAATCATAGAATGGTTTGGGTTGGAAGGGACCTTCAAGATCATCCAGTTCCACCCCCCTGCCTTGGGCAGGGACACCTCCCACTAGACCAGGTTGCTCAAAGCCCCATCCAGCCTGGCCTTGAACCCCTCCAGGGATGGGGCAGCCACAGCTTCTCTGGGCAACCTGTTCCAGTGCCTCACCACCCTCAATGCTATCCAGGCTTGGTCCCATCTAGTTGGAGGCTGAGACGCCAACGTGTTTGTGTGCTGCTTTTGGAATCAGCTCCTTCTGGTTTTATAAGGAAGCTGTTTTCTCTTCTCCATCAGCCTGAGTCGAGCAGTGGGGCCCACAGGATCTTTCTTCCCTTCCTGCCTGCCGGGGACTCTTCTCAACACAGCCACCTACGCCCAGGCCTTATCCCATGTCGCCTCTCTAAAAGGTAAGTGACTTTGTTTAACTTCGGGCAGAAACTCAAAGAGCGGCTCTTTCAAACACGGTCCCACTCGGGGCAGTGGGAAAAAAAAATAATGGGAAATAATGATGGGAAATGATGGGAAATGATGGATCCTTCTCTCTGTTCCTGCAGCAGTTGCCCTGACCCATACTGTAGGTACAGGAGTGAGTCCCCTCTTGTAACTTGCAGCATCGTTTGCAGCAATGCTCCTTCCTTTTTACCCAGAGAGTTAGTTTTGGGTGAGGTCAGGGTTTGTCTCAAGGAGCAAGGCAGGTAGGGCTTCCTCCTTTAGAGTTTTCTTGGCATATGCTTTTTTTGTTTTTTTTTTTTAAGAGTCAAATTTATACTAATAAATTAGTTATACACATCCTTTTGCATTATACATAACCTGGCAGCGGTACCGATGCCTCATCCGCTCTTTGCCGGCGGTTTCCTTTGCAGCACATCTCCACACGATGCCAGACCCTTCTCCTCTTGGGCAGCAGGTCCCCTCGGAGAACTTGAACAAAGCCTGGGCGTGGGGACAGGAGGGGTTTCCAAAGTGATTCCTGGGACCCAGGCTCCAGGAAGGGGTACACCCAGCACCCCCATCCCTTCTTCTCTTCCCCAAAAGCAGCAGTTTGCTTCTTTTAAAAAAAATAAATGGCCAGCCGATCCATTAGCCGCTCCTAGCCTAACAATTTATGGGACTGAGGGTGTAAGCAGGATGAATTCAATGTATAGATTTATAGGATGTAAAGGCCGAGAGCGCTGCCAAGCACAAAGTGGCGTGTACATTTACTCTGTGCCCCCGTGGGGTGCATCTGCCAGGAGCCTTCCCCAGTCCGAGACCCTCCGCTACGACCACAAATGTCCTCTTAATGCCTCTGGCCATGTTCTCTGGCACATCTCCTGCTCTTCCTCAGAACTTCCAGTTAAACCAGCATAGCCCAGGTATATTCCTGAAGGAAACGCCCAAAACAGCTGAGTTTTGCATTAAGTCCTGCCCCTTCTTCCTTCTTGTCTTTCCAAAAAAAGCTGAAGCCAGACACACCACTCAGCTCCAGCTATTTTGATGGCTGTGGCATTTGGGATTTTGAAATAAGAAAAGCCATACTGATGTGACCTGAACCCGAAAACTGGCAGAAATGGGTTGTGTTCAATGAATAATTGTGGACAGAAGGGATTCTTTCCCCCTCCCTTAAAATTTACATCTAAGCATTTTCAAAATCAAATGCATCAGTACATTGTTCTCCCCCGTTTCATGCTGAAATGAAGCTAAATTTTAGGAAAAATAACCCCATTAAGCAAATGCCAAGCAAAACGAAATAGAAATGAGCAAAAAAAAAATTGTCATGAGGATTTTTTTTTTAAGTTTTATTTATTTGGAAGAATTCCAGTTATTCTTTGCTGTGATTTTACAGCTCAGCCACTAAATTGAGAAATTAATATTTTCTCCTTTTTGCTTGATTGCAGTTTTACAACTTAAGGGCAGGAAAAATCCCATTCCTGAGTCTCTCGTAGAGATACTTATTAGACAGTCGGTTTCCCAGACTGAGAGGCAGTGTCCCTGAAAAATCGCTCCAAAAATGTAAATATTGGGGTTTTATATAATTTGTATAGCGACGGTGAGTTATCAGATCCATGCATGTTATCTCGATGGATGTTGTCAGCTACACAGTTCAGTGCAGAGATACCCAGTTTTTATCTCCCAGCTGGCACTAGAAATCTCCAGGTACGTCCAAGGGGACTGGGATACAGGAGTATATTTTGATTTCAAGAAATCCTGTTCCAGGTTTGAGTATCTGCATATCCCCCTGCCAGGAGCTCTGTGGAGCTGCCTGAGCCTCTCAGCGCATTATTATACTTGTAAGGAACTGGGAGACTGAGCTGCTGCTTTGAGGGAAGATCTTTTTCTTCTGCAGCAAGGTCTCAGCAATGTCAAATTTTGGCTTTGAGGTTAAGGGGGAAGAATTTTCTGTTCTGTAAGCTGGCAAATTTCATTTCTACAAGCAGAGAACCGTTGTAATATCTTTCTTGTGGTGTTTATACATGGACTTTTGTCTCCTTTTTCCTTGGCTCATCTCCACAAGTTCCTCTTTCTCTGTTTCTTCAAGAGCAATTGGGCTTGAGGCTGGAGTAGGGGCGGTGCACAGCAGACTTTGAGCTTCAGTCTCGTTAATTGGCGATGACCAACAGGATGATCTCTAGAGGTTCAGAGTGGACCAGAAGTATCAGAGGCCTGACCCAGGTTCTGTTTTTCTTTGCTATGGGAACACCAGGTGAACAATGATTTATCTAAACCAATGTATTTGAGAGCACAACCAAGATCACATCAGTCTGGAGGAGGAGATAATGCTTGTGGGAAGGAAGGAAAGGGCAGGGAGAGCCACACTGTTCACAAAACCATTATATGACCACCTCCGTCTTGCTCACTTCGGGTTGTTTGACTCTCCCTTCTCATCTCCCTCTTTGAGCCAGGAGACAATTTGTACGTTTCAGGCCCATCCAAGGAGAACTAACCCTACATTTTGGTGGGCATTAGTCTGTGTCCTTATGCCGACAGGACTCTGACACAGTGATTCTGGGAGAACAGAGCTTTATGCCACATGAAATCCCATCAAACTCGGCACAGAGTATCAAATTCTGAGCTGTTTGGGTTTTGAATTGCTTGGATAAGGAGAAATTCAGCAAGGAGTAAGGTTTTACAGTTTTATTGAAGAGTGACACGGTCAAGAGGTCTTCCTGGGATGTCTCTTGTGCCATCCATGCTTTGAAACTGCCAGGAACTCTTTGTGCTTTTGAAGGCAAAATAGTTGCTCCAGAATCACAGCACCATTTAACTACCAGTGGATTGGTGATCCTGCTTTTCCTACCATTGGGAGGATAATTCTGGCCAGTAAAGGGAGTCACATTCTTCAGGAAGGCTGTGAAAGCTGCCTGCAGAGAGATGGGCACTCTCAACACATCAGATACTGTTGGGAAGCCTCAGTTGTTTTCTTGTTCTCTTGAGGAGACAAGACGTGCTTTGTTGGGCTTGTAAGCCAACACTTTGTTGGTGTCAGTGAGTAATATTTGACTGATGCTTTGGAAGGAGACAATTAAAATCAATAATCAATGCAGTGAATAACAAGTGATGATGGTGATGTAACTAATTAATAATTATTCTGTGCTCTCAGGGACCATCTTCATTCTGCCACTTGAGAGTTCTCTGTCTTCTGTAAAGAAACTAACACCTCCCTTTCTCCTTCTCTGATGTTGATTGCTTGGCTCCAGACCCAGATTTCCAAGGCTGCATAAAGAGTCTGGGGTATATGGTTCCTGGGTTTAATTTGTAGGGTGAGGATACAATAGTTGATGATGAGGTTGGTCTAGTAGAGACAAGAGACCTCAGGATGGTCTAGAATGGGGTAGGGATGCCTGCAACTTTGTTTTTGGAAGGACTGTGGAGTGTCCTGTGGTCTTTGCCTTGTTCTTTGTGTGCCTCAACAGGCAGCCTCAGCTGAACCCCACTTCTAGGTAAATAGGGGATGTTGCTGGAGCACGAGACGAGGTCTGCTCTGGTGTCTGAGAAACAAGCTGTTCTCCCTCAGCACGATGCCCCGTGCACCCTGTTGTCTCTGAAACTGAGATACTTTATTTTTCCTCAGAGGGAAAAAAAAAGGGTTATTTACCACGTCAGGATGTTGTGAAGGAAGCAGGCTGGCTACACAATAGCAATCAGAAGTGTAATTCAGGGCGTAGACTGTTCCAGAGAGGAGTATATTACCACTGGACAGTTTTTCTCTCTTTCTACCAAGTATTATCTATTCAGTAGTAAAACAGACCTTTTCCTTTCCTTAGATGAGTCTTCTCCCTCTCTGAAGTTTAGCTTTTCAGAGGCTGTACTTGGTAGCAAGCGTCTGTTAACTACTGTGTCACCTCACTACATACTAATCTTTCAGGAAAGAAAATTCCTCATTTGAAGAATTAGGATCAGATCATAATTTTGGTGGTATACAGGGTTTCCTACCGCAGGGTTTTCGTTCTTCACTGCTGGCCATAGTCAGGAAGCAGGTTGGCTCGCACAGGTGAAATTTCTGGTGTTTGTTACTCTCTGAAATTGTCCTAATTTGACAACTATGCTACTTCATTGTGGTGACTTCGACATTTCCATGATCTTCCAAGATGAATCACTTACCGTAAACCATGCATCTGCAGTCCATTTAGCAGATTTAATTGCAGACCTCAAATATGAAGGGAAAATACTTGTTTTATTTATGGGCTGTATAACAATAGAGTCATCGGGAGAAGCTAGCGTTCTGCACAGAGAGAGACCTCAAAGTACCTTCTTAATGGATGACAGCATGAATGCAATTCATTAATGTAGAAGATGTTATTAATGGGTGTAAACAAGAATCTCCGGTTTTTAGCGGAAGCCGTGTACCGTTCTGGTGGCTGAGGCCAAGAGTGGGGCTGTTACATTCCACTGAAATTTCCCCAGACCCCGTGATGAGCGCAGCGTACGAGGAGAGAAATAATTACACTTGCTGGGGAATTACTTTCATAATTCACCCTCAGCTCTGCTCGGTGCGAGTTACAGCCCAGTTGGTTTTTCACGGCACCTCCGCACCACCGATAGAGAGGCAGGATTGCATTAGGCACATCAAAGTGGATATTCCAGGGCCCCATTGATTAGGCTCTTTTATGGTTTGTTGCTGCTCTTCGTATTAGGGAGGCTTAATTGCAGTATCCAGGAAAAAAACCACAGCAACTAGAGCTGCCCATCCATTACACTTCAATTTCTGGTATGGAAGGATGAGGAGAATTTTGCCTGATTCTTTCAGGCGATTCCCGTTGCTAAGGCTGAGAAGGAAGTGCTCAAGGACCTAACTTACCCTTGAACTGGTGTTTACTCAATTGAAGCACCGCTGCTCGCCATGAGACCAGAGAACTGGAATCAAAACTCTTGGGGTCCTTTATTTTTGTCTGTCAATCTTGATTATGCACTTACTGACTTTTCTCATGCTTTTCTCAGAGCAAATAGATCAAGCAGGTTCTGTTTGGCATCTTTCCTAGTTTACCTGTGACTTTAGAGAATTTAAAACATTTCTTTAGTTTGCTACAGACACACAGACCTTGAGCAAATTACTTTGATTCCTGTACCACAAGTCCCTGACTCTAGCACTGCTCTGCATTGCAGGTAGATTTTTTTTTTTTTTTTGGGTCTTTATCACAAATATTTGGGAATATGCAGCTATTAGGAGCCCTAAGAGCCATGGGAAGGAAATTGGTGCTGGATTGTTCCTCCAGGTCAAAGCTTGATTAGGTTAGTGGATCTTAGCTGGGCAGGGGTTCCTATTGACCCCTCTCGGGGTGACACACGGCAGCAGGATTTAGGGTGAGATCATGTGTTTGATGTGAAAGGGAAGAGCAGTAAACTCTTGCTGAGCTGACAGTATTCGAAGGACCGGTTGTGTTCTCCCAGCTTTTGTGGGCTTTGCTGCCAGCTTTCATCTCCAAACGGGCAAGGTCCTGGCTTCTGAGTTATCATTTTGGAACTGTACTAACAGCACAAACAAAGTGAAGGACCAGTTTTTGTGGGCTTTGCTGCCAGCTTTCATGTCCAAACAGTCAAGGTTTGGCTTCTGAGTTATCGTTTTGGAACTGTACTAACAGCACAAACAAAGGAGGATGAAATCCTCCTGTCCAGTGTTGAGTTATTTACACAAAAAGGCTCCTGCTACAGCAACGGAGCCAGATCATCAGCTCTTTGTTGTTTGCGTTGGGCACGGAGCCAAGGAGGTGTGAAATTATGACATTTAGACTCTTATCTCAGCACTGAAGTGCTCTCCCAGCCTCTGGGCAGCACAGGGTGCCTTCCACATTTAACCAGCTTAGGCACTAGAGGAAGAACCACCTAGCACAGCCTCAGCAGCCCTAAATTATGCTGGGAGCATCTGGTGCCTTCTTGTTTCAGTCTTTAAGTTCATGCCTCTCTTATTCTTTGGATCTCCTGATTAAGAGTTCAAAAAGTGTGGATAAAACCACTTTTGTTTCTCCTGCTTGTGCCTCAGACTTTAATAGACTCAGTGTTGGCATCATATATGAAGAGCAAGAGGGAGCTCCCTTTGAATCAGCCCTCGCTGGGAAATGACACCACAAACTTGAGGTTTGTGTTGACCCTCCAACCTCTGTGAAAGTGACTTCAGGGCTGATGAGGATTTACAGCTCAATCAAACCAATGTGACTATTATAAAAAAAACCCACACCCAGATACTTAATTCAAGCATGATATTTTTGCTGCAAACAAAACAGGTGAAGACTTTAAATGGGAATTTTTCCCCTCTTCCCTCCGTGTCAGGTTGCTGTTCAGCTCTTCACATCAAATGCTGATACGCACAAACACTGCAAGAGGAAGGCAACTGGGGTTTTGCCTTTTAGAAGGCATATCTATTTAATTCTTTAAAATGTTGAGTTAAAATACAAAATATGTATTTTAAATACTTATTTACCTATATGGGCCCCACTCCCACCCCCCTCTTCTCCGCTGAAACCGAACCTTGGAACTGCACAAAAGGGTCCGTAACCAAAATTGTAGATCAAATATCATTACAATTGAAATGTGATGTTGGCAGAGACAAGACAGAACTAATTTAATTTTTCCTGTCAGTCTCTGTAGTAGATCAATTAAACTGCCAAGTGGATCAAATATTTCAGACTGTATTTATTACATTAAGTATTTATGTTCAGGCTGAGCATTTAAAGTATGATCTCATATAGGAATACAAGGAGGTTCAGATCAATTCAGCAGAATTTGCTGTAAGTTAATGGAAATCTAATTGTGTATTTTAATTTTGTGTACAGGAGGCAGTAAGTTCCTGAAAGAAAGAAAATAGTACCCTGTCCATATTGTATCAACCTGATCCAAACCCCATTAAAGTAATATCATTAAAGTCATAGATGTTAGTGGAACCTGGATGAAGCTTTAGGGTTAACGGCCTAACTCTCCCTGATTTTGGTGGGAGCTGGTGCTGGTGGGTGCCTAAACTCCTCTGAGGACCCCAGATAAGTAGGAACGATCCCTTCCTTCCCCACTACGGACTCAGGGTTACTACAATAAGATGTCAAAAAAGCCCTTGGTGTCTGCTATATGTCGATGCCTCTTTCTTGGTGAAGGTCACCTCCCTGTCCATCGTGGGCTGACTGATGGGCAGGTGGAGACCTTGGGCTCCTGAGGCTCCCATCGTTTGTCTTGGCTTTTGTGCCAGCAAAGTCTGATATTACCCACAGACACAGGCAATTGCAGGTAGATTCAACCTTCCTTACAACCTGCAAACAGAGCTCAATCCTGCTCTTCTGTCTTCTGTCTAGACCCTGCAGCAAATGACACTCATTACTTGAAAATTTTTCATGTGTGAGCTGTTGTTTGCAGGTGTTTTAAGCTCAGTGAAAATGAAAGGCATGGTTTATGGGTGCGTTATTGCTAGAGACAGCCTAGTTTCCACCACAGGTACCTGCACCCTCAGGTTGCAAAGCCACGAGGTAATATCAGGTCTAATTATTAAGCCAAGAGCTTAGATTGGTACCCAAGGCTGATAAATATTTTATCCCTCTCTAACAATGGAATGAAAATTATTCTTAGGGGCTGGAGAGGATTCTTTTCTGCTTCTCCCCACCTCCCACTGAGCATACACTGTCTGTGCTCAGTCCTGCATTGGGTACCACAGTTGGCTCTCACTCTGGGACCCTGACACCTGTGAGGGAAAGTCTCACTCAATTTGTGTTAGAAAACAGCAGTGCAAAGAGAGAGCTGATGCATTGGCAGCCTCCGTTCTCCCCCATTTCAAAAACTGACCATTAAAAGAGTGGGGCTTAATAGTAGTGAAAAAACAGAGCTCTGTGTGGCTTCTGCAGGTAAAGACCTGCTGCAAACTGCAAGGATGCTGAAGTGCCCATTATCTTCTTCTCCCTCTTGTTAAAACAAGTAGCCAACCAGCACCCCCGAAGTGGCTGCTGTTCAACAGGGTAAAAAAATGCCTTTATGAGCACGGCTGGTGGTGGCGAAAAACTCTAAGTTGTGTTACTGAGGGGATTTTGTGATAAACCTTCCTTCTGACCTGCTAAAAGCAGCTGCAGAATTCAGGATTGATAGCTAAAAGCAAAAAATGGAGGATGGTGGTCAAGTGCTGAGACTGCCTTGGGCAATCCAATTGAATGCCTGGACCCATGGAAATGTTGGTCTGCTGTCATCTGCTCTGTCAGAGGAGTGTGACAAGAGAAAACAAGACTTTCCAGTTACATTAATAACTTGTCCCTTGTAGATTCTGGTTTTTATAATGCAGCACTTACCTGCAAACTGCTTATCTCTGATAATTGCTGTGGAGAAGTCTTGCCAACACCCTAAAAGCAAACAACTGTCTGCCTTCATCCCTAGCAGCTGGGTGCTGACCCGTTGCTACCGAGAGCAGAAGTGTAAAAGAAAGACTACCTGCTCCCTGCAGGTTATTAGTTCCATCACTTAGTCATGAGCCATTTAACTCAAATATTAACTGCAGAAATTAAAGCAAGTCCTTGGCCTGGAAAGATCAGAGGAAGACATTGCATCATGTCAGGATGTGCGTGGCCGGGCTGTTTCTTGTTGGGAGGCAGTGTGTCAGCGAAGGACAGGCTTTTGCTAGGGATGTAGAAGAGGATGTGGAGTT